TTTATCTCAGAAGCAGAAAGCATTTCAAAGTGACCTGAGCTCCTCCCATGAAAAGCCATGGAAACCCTTCCAAAGGTTGGAGGTAAGTTTTCATGGAACTATTGAGTTTGGGCAGAAACAAACTGCAGGCAGTTTTGAAGGGGTTTTTTTTGGGGGGGGACACATATTTTTTAACTGGTAAGAGATGTATTACATGATTCAATTCATGTGGCTTGCTGTTCTGCAGACGCCATTTTGATCATCTAAACAAGAAGCTGGATTTTCTGAACCTCCTCAACTTTTTAATTCCATCATGCCCTCTAATTGTAAATACTCCATCTGAAACATCGTGGGACTAATTTCTGAGGGCTCCACGCTCCCATAGCTCTTTGGCAACCCAAAACCAGCAACTGTGTCTGTTGTGCAACAGAAAAGGCTGAACTGATGTGGAGTAAATCTTCTTTGGAAGCAAAATGATATTGTCACATCAGTGAGACACTATGCCAGGGAAAAAAAGTTACGATGATGAGCTCGGTGTATTTAGCCTGGACAAAGTGCTACGCTAACTCAGCTCCTTCTAGAACAAGTGAGTACCTGCAAAGCATGTCACACCACAGAGATGCTAGCGTGGACAACTCTGCACTGTGCTCCGTCTGGACACTGCCAAAACCACTGAAAATTCTAAGTTTGTTTTCAAAATAGAAACCCGGTCATCTCTGCTATTTCAAGAACTTCAACCACCTCAGTTAGTCCAAGGCACTCAAGTCAGCGGCAGGACGTGCATTTCTGCAGGAGATGTGGTTGGTAGGTGCTGTGAAGGAGGGACAGTTCCACAATCGCACTGAACAGCACGGCAACAGCAATTTTCTTACCCACTCCTCCAACAAGGCAACATCTAACACAATAAACTGCAGAGGAGAGAAATCTTTAGTTCTTGCCTCCAATTAAAAAAGCCTACTGACAAGCAGAACTGCTAGCTAGCAGCGCTGATGTGACCACCCTGACCCAAAAGGGTGGCTTGTAGCTTGGTCATTAGATAATAAAGAAAAAGAAGTCAGGCCTGTGAGGAAGAGGTGAGAGTGTTGGGGCTTCTAAAGCCCTAGGAAGGATTTAAATCAGATCACCACTGAGCTTAAGAGAGATCTGATCGCAAAGAGGCCAGGAAGGAATTGGAGGTGCTCTGGTAATCTGACTACTCACTGTAGTCAGTTTGCCTGGTAACACGGGTATCTCCTCTGAAGCACCAAACCCTTCACACACACAGACCAGCCAACCCACAAAGAAAATCCAAAGGGCAGACGCAGCGTTATCTGTACGTCTGTTGTTGCTGGGTGGTGACTGTAGTAACGTGGGACCGTGCCAACCGTGTAATCTCAGCGAAATGCTGAGATGTATCAGGGCACTGCAGTGTAGGCAGCCAAACGGGCGTCATCTTCAAGGATCCTGCTGTCAGGAAGGGCAGAGACACAAGGGATGTAAAGAACAGTTTGTCTGCTGCATTCATTTGCTCCCTATACATCTCTTGACAACAGGCTACCCCCAACAACTCACATCTGGGCCTTGCCGTGTGTCGTTCTCATTTATCCTTCATTACAGCACACCTCGTTATTTCGGTCCTGGTGTTTTCTCCATAGAGATCTGCTGATGCCCATCTACTTGACCTCTTTCACCTGTCATCAGACTAGGTCTGGTCCCAGGCTCCCCAAAACGGCTCTTCCAGACCCATCTATCATGGCACAATCTGCCGGGCTCATCCTCACTTTACAGCTTGTCTCCCTCCTGACCTACAGATTCCTCTGCGGTCCTCATCTCAAAACACAGACCTGCAGACACCCTTCATCACCGACTCCGTGTGCTCGACCTGCTGGGCCACCCCAGGGCTCCCCAAAACAGCCGGCACAAACGCACCCACATACTCAATTCTGAAAACTTTTCCAAGTCCAGCTGAGGGGCACTCCCAAGGGGAAGAACCAGTGTTCATCCTGTAGGGAAAACCTGTAGTCTGACTGTTCCCCCCTTGCCCTTAGGTTCGTGGAGGAGCCTGAAGTTATCTCGCATGCAGTACCTCTGGGCAGCAAATCTAGGACAGGTCTCTCCAGTGGGGATGGAAAGAAAGAACATTTGCAAAACGTTTTATTAAAAGGAACTAAAAAAAAAAATATTAAAAAAATCATCGCAATTAAGTCGATTTGTCATTCCTTTTTCCCAATTATTATTAGTAATTATAAAGCCAGAAGCTTTCCATAGGCACTCCAAAGGGACCTAAGGACGAGGAAGCAAAGTTGAGCTAGATGACCTTGTTTTCCAAGCCATGTTTTTTTCTTTTTTTTTTTTCCACAGGATGATTAAACAGGAGGGCAGAAACACTGAGGAGTAGCATATTATTTTTTTTTTTTAAGGAAAGGAAAAAGCACAGAGCAAGACTGTACCGAAAAGACAGGCCAAAAAAAAAAAAAAAAAAGAAAAAAAAAAAAAAAAGAAAACTGCCAGGGGAAAGGGAAAGGGCCTTTGTT